TTGGTGTTGTTGGTGGTTGGTAATGTTGTAATGAATTGTCTTTATCAAGTAACTTGTTTTCTTTTATAATTCTGTTTAGTGCCAGCTCCTTTTGGGGGCTTGTTTAGTAGGTTTTCATGCAGATTGCTTATTTCAGTGGTGCTTATTACTAACCTTAGTAATACTGGTAGTTATGCTATTCTTACCCCATTGCTATAAGATTTAGTATTATTAGTGGATGGGAAAATATTCATGTACTGTCTTTACCAAGTAATTTTCCTTTTCCCTTTATTCTATTGTATACCCCACATTTTCCCTTTTCCCTAAACAATTGTATGCATTAAAGTTATAAGCCAGTATGCAATTCTTTGGTGCTGTCTCACCTTAATTTGCCACAAGGGAATATATGTATAGAACCTCCACGAACCCCACTCGTCCCACCCAGGGTGGTTCTATGAGCTGGGTCGCGACAAACACTGGAACAGTCACATAACTGCACTCTCTGCACAGGTGAGAGAGTCAGGGAGAGACTTGGGTGCAAACATCCCATCTGCTTTGCACGAACACCTGGAGGTGCTGCGAGGGAGGGAGTGGTGGTGCTTCACAGACGGTGGCTTGGCCAGGAGGACCCACCACCAAGGACTGGGGGATGCCTCGAGGAACGCAGGTCCTGCCGCCCCGCATCTCAGTACACAACCACCAGCTCCCTCACATGCCAGCACGTTCATGGTGCCCTGAATAAAAATTAGTGTGAAATGTGAAAAACAACAGAATATTTGTACGAGAAGTAGAGCAACAGGGCCCTAATACTCCCTTCAGCAGATGGGTAGTACCATACTATAAACAACAACCAATAACAAGTATTTAGCTGCATGGGAAAACTGGAAGCCTCAGAGGCTGATCACATTCAGCTTTTATACATCTAAAGAGCTGTATGCTGATCTAAAGGCAGTCATAATTGTTCATACAGACAATCTTGAATGTGCAGAACAATCAAGAAAAATCCAAAGCATCTGTGTGGATAACTTGATCACTGCAGAAAATAAAATGGAAGGACAGAAATAGAGAGGGAAGAAAGGATGGAAGTCAAACATCCCATTTTGTCTTATTGTGGATTAGTTTGTGTAATTCGGTTCTTATTCTCCACAGACTTACAAGTGTGTTTAGTTGCAAACTTACAATAAGTTCAAGTAAAGTCAGTGAGACTGCTGACCTAATAAATTTATACAATTGCTTACTATTTTGAAGAATAAATGTTTGGATTGTCCACTGTATAACGGAGACCAATATCAGCCGAGGAAACATCAAAACATTATATTATGAACCAGGAGTGCAGATGGTGTTGGAAATCAGGAGTAAAGCTATAGAGTCCGTGTTCCTCACATGGAAAGTTCTTTTTTCCTTTTTGGTCCCTACAACAATGGGACCCTGTAAATGCTCAGAGCTCCAGGGAACAGCTGGTGACATATAAAATTAACAAAACTTTGCTGAGATATTTATGCAACGATGCATGACACTGGGCTTCTGCAAAGGTATACGTACATCTCTGCAGGAAGTGCTATTTGTCACTCAGACCTCGTAGGCCTTGTCAGAAATTTAGGATAGTTTTATAAAGCCAAGCCATTTATTTCAGTGATTCAAATCCCAGTAAATGGAAGTGCACAAACAAGCTTTTGCATAAATGGGACAAGCACTAAGCACCCTGAAAGTCAGGACAGGAGTTTTCTTTAATTTGCTTCTGGGTACTAGATCATGATTTGTGACTTACTTTCATCTGAACACAGAGCTGGTGTCAGGACTACATGAAAACTGTTTTGTTATTCTGTCTTTCTCACTGTAAGCCTGAAAAAAGATCTAATTTAGATATTGAAGAAAAAAGTGCTTTGAAGAGAGGCTGAAAGGTCCTCTCTTCATCGCAAAGCCTTTTAAAACATTTTTTTCTTCTTGAGGAACCACTGAGACATTTGAACAGCTTCAAAACTGTAGCAGAGTTGTCTTGGTCACATTCCTTCAACTGCCATTTAAAGTAACCAAGTCTGAAAAATGTTGAGGTTATTGCGGAGTCAGATTTTTTCTAAAAAACAGACAAATAGCTGTTAAGTGGGATGCAATTCCAGTGTGAACTGAATAAAGGCATGTGACAGAGAAATAGGGAAATACCTAAGTCAGTTACTGCTGACTTTTAAGCAGGGTCATGCTCACAGCACTCATCTACCTGCCCCAATATTCAACTTCCAAACAATTGTTGTCAAATTGAAAATAATTCCAAAATGAGCTACACTGAGTGACATTAGCTGTGGGAAACTTAATACAGCATATAGTTCCCAAGGCTCAGACTATTTTTTTTTACCCATGAGATATTAAGATCCTGAGCATGACATGTCACTCCTCTCCAAATCTATGTAAGCAAGACAACCACAACCTCTGAATCTGTGCAACCTTTCATTTTTTTTAAAAAAGGGAGTATCTTCCAAAATGCACAACATGTTGAGCTTCATTTAACTACTCACAAACAGAAACTTCTGGAAAGTGCTTATAAAATGCGTGAGTCAGAAGAAAATACCTCTTCAGCTAAACTGACATTCTCAAATTATTCCCCATGCCTGCAGCACAACATTTACTTCAGGTCCTTTGCACTTTGCATTTTCTCTCGCATTTACACCTTACTGTTCAAGACACAATTTTTCTCTTTGCTGCAGACAAAGGATTTCCTTTACTGTCATTCCCTTTAGCTGCTTCTCAAGAAAATATGAATTGCTACTACACTGCTGGTGCTGACATTTGTCGTTCAGGGTCTGACTCTACACATGACTTTAAGACAGAGAGATTCACTCAGTGGCAGCTCGGCCCACCGCTGATTGGATTCATCACCCACAAATGGTACAAACCACAGCCATGATGCAAGGATGCACTCAAAGCTGCAGAGCTTGATGGTACAGATTGAACTTTTGAAATCAGAGCTGCTTCCCAAAGTGGCTGCTAAAACCTTCCCCCAGCAAGCTTCACTCCGTGACACCTCTCCTATGAGCAAGCCACAAGCATATGAAACCTGCCCAAGTCAGAGAATGTTCGGTTTGTTTGTTTAACTTGTAATTACATAGGAAAAACAGTGCCACCCCCCACACCTTCTTCCTTTTCAGAGTGATTTCCAGCAGATTCATGAAAAGCAGAAGATGGTCGAAGAGCTGTGACTCTGCCCCAGGGCAGGGGAAGGTGCCTGAGAGGGATGGGCAGGCTCCGAGGGAGGAAGGAGCATGGCACAGGCCTCTCTCAAAGGAGAAAGATTGTGCAAAAAGGTAGCTCAGATTCAACACCTCCAAACTTTTCACACAACATTTCCTTTCCATAATTAAAGACTAGGGTGGCTTCGAGGACAGATTCTGAAAAATCAACTCCCTTTTGGTTTTAAATAGGTTGAATTACATCAAATGAGAAGCACTAATTTGCTACTCTTGGGGGAACACATTGTTTCCAGGGGAAAATGTAGCAGAAACTGTTTATTGGTGCCAAAGAGCACTGCAGTAGAGGAGCTAGAAACATTGCTGCTGTCAGAAGGGGCTATATTTTGAAAAGAACCTAGAACTTGATATGCAGTTACCATGGGAGTCTTTCTGAAACTCTGGCCCAGTGCAGGTAGCAAAACAGAGGTAGAGTTTCTCAGCAGACCACCTAAACTGTAAATGTGGCAACCATAGACAGAACTTAGGTGTCTGAGTATCCAATGTGACTGAGACTGACTATTCTTGGGTGCTGTCTCAATAATTTTTTCACAGGGCAGCAGTATTTCCAAGGCACCCACGCACAGGCTTTCAACGTAAGCATTAAGTACAAGTACTTTGGTTCATAAAGGCAGAACCTAACTTCACGCCAAAAAGTTTTCCCATAATTCAAGGATATGCAATGAGACAAATTCCATCCAGCCTTTGGAGAGGTCCATCCTGGAAGACATGTTCTCACCTTACTCACATGGGACACACTGGATTCAACATAGGGCTCACTAGTTAAGGTAGCTCTTCTCTAAACACTGAGGGAAGAAGCAGTATAGGAGGACAAATGCCTATTTAAATGACTGCAAAGAATTAAAACTGTCATAAGTGATACTTGGTACCACTTACAGCTCTGGTTCCCTTGAGTGCAGGGCGAGAGATAAGAAGAAACACAGAGGGAAGTACAATATAATAAAGTGGCAGTGTGAACCATGCAGTAAGAATCTTTCAGAAAACATACAGAAAGCTATTCCCTAGTAAATGGCCTAATAACTATTATTGTTGTCATAATATAGCTGGAGTGAAATTAAGCATTAGATATGGGCATTTTGTAAAATTCTCCACCCTTTCGATTTAAACCGTGCTATTCAACTCCACAGCACAGAATTTTCTGAATGGCAATGTCACGATTTGCTACAACATCACAGGCAAAGCTTATAAATAATTTAGGAAAACATTCAGGTGGCTGGGAAATACCAATTATCCCCTGTTTGCAGGGCATACATGAGCTTTCCAGAGCACACAGGCTTGAGCTGCATCTCTCTGAATAAATAATCCTCTCCCATAGCACACATATACACACATTCCCTTCCAATTAATGTTCTTACCTTATCTTTATTTTCAGAGACAGAATCCTCAGGTTTGGTCCGAATGACAAAGGGAGTAGATAATCTCAGGAGAACTCGTTCAAATGTGGCACTGATTTTAGGAGACACTATGTCAAAGCAGTCTTGGAATTTCAGAGTTTTATGAGTGTCACATCTGAGCTGCTTCCTAAGACCTTCTCCAAGCTGGAGAACCAGCATGTTTGGATCAAACATCAGGTGAAAGGGGAAAGCTCTGCAGAAGGTGCTGATGCTAATCCTCAGGTCTAAGGGGGACTGGGAAGTTCCCGGTGGAAGTGCTTTTGTGATATTTGCATTTTCACGTTCTTTGATAAGGAAAGTCAGACAGCTGCAGTTACCTGGGTTCGTCCCCTCTGAACACAACTTATCATTAGTGATCTGTTCTACTTCCACTTCCAAGTGGTAAATCTTCTTTGCTGCTGCTTTTATCATTCCCATCATTGCAAATCCCACAATCTGATGTGGGTGAAAGTAATGAAGCATGAGTTTGCCTTCAGGGAGCTCTTTGCATAGGAAAGAAGGGGATTCCAGGGTGGCCTGTCTTCCAAATGAAGTTCTAATGTGCTCCAGCAAAGCATCAAAGCCATTGAAGAAGTCTTGAAGGGTCCCACCTACAGCTCGAAGAACTCTTTCATTCTCATCAAAGCAGATATTGAAGAATTCCTCTCCAAACTTTTCTTGCATTTCCTCAAACTTCAAACCTATAGGACAATAAGACACTGTTAACCAACAACATAGTATTGCTACTCTATTGCATTTTCCCTTTGTTGTCTATTTGCCCAGTACTTTTCCAAGTCAATGAGAGTTGCTTTTTCACTGGATACCTACCCATGGTGGTTGTGAATAACTTTAGAAGCCACTTTTGCCTGTCATTTTAAGTCCTTAATGCTTTCAGCTCACTATTCCAGCCCACTACTTGTGGGATTTACACTTGCCTGTCTCCTCTTCCCTGCTGGAAACCAGAACACGTTATAATTTCCCTGACTTTTGCACATCCCATGCAGTCTGCTGTGTGCACGCACCCAGCCACAGGTGCACCCCTTCCATTGTTGACCTACCCACAAACCAGGCTTCTGCTTTTATACTCCCTCTGTTCACTGCCTCTGCAAGGGATCCAGTCCTTATCAGCCTGAAGAACAGGCTACTGGGACTCAAAGTCAGGACTTTGGCTTTCAATAAGCAATGTAAAGCCCTGCAGTCAGATGACACTTCAGTAGCTGGTGGAGGGGGGTTTGTAGGTTTGGGGTTTTTTTCCCATCAAAACACTTTCCTCATTATAGCTACTGGGCACTGCCAGAATATACAAAGGAATAATTCTTTTTTGTTGCCTTCAAAGGAGCGCAAAGCCTTACCATTTTAGGCTTCTACATTCACCCATCTTTAAAAAAAAAAAAAACTCCCTCTTAGAGTGATCTAAACTGCTAGTAGATGTCCCCTGCTAGTAGATGTCCCACCTCTGTGATATATCCCATTGTTACTTCAAGTCTCCATCACAGAAATTCAAAAGGTTTTGATTTACAGAGGTGATAAGGCTGAAGGTATTTCTGAAGGGACGAAAAAATATCAATGATGGAAGTCCCTGGATACAAATGTGTATCAAATCCCCCTCCAGTTTGTTATTTACCATTTTAAGGATAACCTACAAAAGTAATTATGGGATGGTTATTCAACATTTTCCTCTGTCTTATTTTAGGGGAGACATGCTCTGTTAAATCTCATCTGTATTTAATCCCTATATCACATTGTAGATTTACAAAATTTATCAGATATGTTTGTACTGCTCTCAGCTGTAAGAGAAGAAAAAGAAGTATGAATCACATGCATGTGAATTACAAATATCCAGCCAGAGTTTTCAAAAGAAATTAATATATGAATTAACAACACAGTTCCTCCACTGTATTGAAATACATAAAATTTCAGTGAAACAGTCAAACACCTTAAAATTTATTATGAATTCTAACAGAAATGAAGGCCAGTTACTTGTTTCCTAAGGGCACTACAAGCCTATTATTTTAATATGTGTTCAGCATGCTTTATAACATTGATAAGCTCCCACTGGATCACCAAACTTCTCATTTTTTGTTTAGATTGCTTGTAGGCTTTTATATTTGGAAGAACAGTGTGAATAGCGACTTTCATGCCCAAGAGGTTTAACAGGGGAACAGAAGTCACCATTCATCTGTTGTTTGCAGACAATAACCTCTGATCATCTCAAGGCAGCGTCTGAACTGTCTGTCCACACAGGCATAGTTATAACCATCGATGTTCACAAGGGATCCACAAAGCGTTCCACAGCTTTGCAAACTATCTGTTTCATTTGGACCTTCAATATGATTAATAGCAGATGAAAATGCATAAAATTACTTATATAAACAGGACAGTATAACAACATGACAAAGCACATTTTATAAAAGAAGTAATAGTAATAATTTGTGAAAGTTCATTCAAATGCCATTACTCATAATCAAATTTGGTCACTAAACTAGGTTATTACAAAAATATTCCCAGGATCTTTTATGACCACAGATGGTCAGATTTGTGGTTAAGCCAAAAGAAAGTACCTCTGGTACACAATGCCCCCTAATATCCTGACTCAGAAGACATTGTGCCAAATCCTGACTCATTGCCACTACGTCTGGGTAACACAGGACTGTAATATCTTCCATAATACTCATTATAACGCAAAAAGAATGAAATTACAACCCATACCAATAACATGGTCAGAACTGGATATTAATAGTAAGGAGCTAAGACATTATCATATTCATATGTATACAGAAACATATATGCCGACTTTTAAGTATTATTCTTCTGTAGAGTGAACCGCGAATAGCTTTGGAAGTCTGTGTGTAAATGTGAGCAGTCTAGCAGGGGCACCTGAGACTGTAAGATTGCTGAGGACCTGAAAGTACGGGAACAGGACAGTATCAGAAAACCCTGGGCTATTCATACAAATGACCAAATACTGTTACATAACTATGTAACATCCCACAAAGCTGTGTAAAATAGTATAGTTGAGCTGTCTCTAAAGTGTATTATAAAATTACAGTAAGTCAGTTGCCCTGGCGCCATCAACTGAAAATAGGGTATGCTGAACTGATCACTGGTGTACTGTACTGCTACGTATGCAAGCCTTATCTCATTATCGTTAATGGGAGTTAAATATTAGTATTTGGCCTAAGATTTTGCTCATTGTCTTAGACTGGTCTTGTCGTCTGCCCTGGAGGACTGGCTGTTCAATCTGGACCCAACATACTGACTCCAAGCAACATAAATTATACTATGAAATTCCGGTCAATGACCTGGCTCGAGGATGTGCCACTACTTCTAAAAACATTTTAGCTTTGAATTGAGTTACACACAGTACCAGCAGAAAATTAGATTATCTCAGAATAGAAAAATGGATATGCCCAAGCTCGACCAAGCTGCTGGTCTGTCTTAGTTGGGAATTTTCTCTGTAATAATAGACACTATGAGATACTGAGAAAATTAGAGAAAGTCAAGTAATCTCCTAAAACAAACAAGCATAATGTACCTATTGGGGAAGTTTCTTCCTGAGCCTCACCAATAAGAGGTGAAATTTTGCTTGAAGCATGATGGTTTTTCTTTAAATCAAAAATCTCTATTTAAATTCCTGTTATACAAACACACACAAACTATTTTTTTCTGTATTTCTACAAAGCTCTTGGCTTCAGTGATGTGCTTGTAGAAGTTGCACAGAATACTCAATCTGTATTTTTACTGATTTATTCCTGCCTCTCCTATTGAAACAAATTATAAACATAAGCACACACCTAACATTAACTCTGTATATATTTCACCATTACCTTTTCATTTACTACTGTATAAATGATCCCAGTCTTTTGAATACCTTCTGTGGAGTTACTCCCTACCCCTTTCTCTATACTTATATATGTTGAGCTTTCACAAGATAATAGAAATGACCATCATCATCATCACAAGGAGAGAAAATGTCAGACTGCATCAGATTGCTATTCAGCTGCTCTGAAATCTTGTCTCAGCAGTGATCGTCAGGAGATGCGACAGCAAAACTACAAAATTTGATGGAAAATAATGAAAAAAACATGGTTTTGAGGAAGCTCCCTAACTGCTACAGTAAATGTTTGTCTTATTGACTGAAATGGGTGGAAGTACCAGATCAGGAGACAGTTTTCCTACATATAGAAACACCTGCTTGTTAAAAAAATTCCCTGAACTCATTGTCTCTATAGTGCATACTTTACTACATTTGGAGACTTCCACAGGTTAATTATCATATTTAAAAATTACATTTCCAGTTCCAGCTTATTCAATATTTCCTTTGTTTTCTCTTTTATTTTGAGAAAAGACAAATAAAATCTTCAAAATAATCTTCTTTATAACCTTCAGGTTATACATCTGCATAAATAGTCCAATCTTTTCAAATTTGCCTCACATTAAACTCTTTCTCTGAATCTTTATTTTGTTTTCATTTTGATTTTTCAATGGAATAATTAAAATTGAAGATGGCAGTGAAAAAGTGAGTCAACTTCTGTTCATCAAAATCAACTATTTGCTATTCCCTTCTGAGAAGCTGGCATTTCCATTCTTTTTTTTTTTCACCATGAACCTCTAATCAAAATTTTCATTCAGCTGCCCAGAAAAAAAGTAATATTCCAGATCTGTACACATGCCCAGCACTTCCAAATGCAGAGGCCACTGCACTCCCACACTGCCTCATGCGTGACCCCAACGACCATAGACAGGGTTTCCTAATGGCCACTAGCTTGCAATCCATAAGTAGTAAAAAGTCATCCTTGGTTTCACCGAGGCACTTCACTAAACAGTATTGATACAAAATAAATCAAAATTCATCCCAGCACACTCTGCTGTTCCCAGGTGAAGCCATTAGTTATTTTGAGCTCCTGCTATTTACCAACCTTCTACTAATATACTGAATGAAATTCTAAAAATTCATTAGTCTCAATTTGCTTTCCTTTTGGAAAGAGATCTGCAGTGTTACTACCATTTAATCCACTTCAAGAGGACAAATCACATTTCTTAACTCTAATGGGGTTTTTTTTGTTTCATAGTTCCTTTTGGTTACTTTTTCTTACAATGCCATTTTTATTCTAGACCACACTGGAGAGAAATTAAGTATGCATATTATAGAAGGAAATTGAAGCATAACAACCATAGAATTAAACTATTGCTATGGGCTTCCACTACAAAGCACTTTGGGATCTATGACAAAAGTACTATATAAGGTCTATTATTATCCTTTGAAAATGTGTCTCAAAGACATATAGAGAAGAGATCCTGTCCTTGTGAGCCAGATTGAAAATTACCCAAGTCTTTAAGCATAGGTTCAAAGTACAAATTAAGTATTTCACTGAAATGGTGCAGAAATGGATTACTTCATCCTGTAATAACATGCTAGTACCTTCCTCATTTTCCTCAAAATGAGGACCTTCCTCATTTTCTTCTCAGTAGTTCCTGAAAACTGTGAACCAACTACAAAATGTCATGAAACTAATACAGTATTTCTAAATATTTTGTACATTACTAGCTGGAGAAATTAGATAGGAATCTGTTACCATAAAGAAAATCACAAATTATAGGCTCTTCAGAAAAAAATAGAAGAGGAATGATGTGATTAAAACATCAAAATAATCCATTTACTTTAAGAGCATGCAAAAGCAGTTACAAGCCATCCACTCCT